GGAGTGGGAGCTTTCGGCTGAGTGCCCACCCGCGGCTGCGCCGGCGCCATCGCGCTCCCTCCGCCCCGCAAGGGCTGCGCCCGCCGGGGTCCCGCTGCTCTCCCGGGGCGCGCGGGGCCGGGGCACGGCTGCCCCCGTGGGCACGGCTCCCGCTCGGGCACCGCTCCCGCGGCCCGTGCCCGGGCACACCGGGCGGCACCGGCGGAACGGCCGGGACCGGGACCGGGGCCGGACCGGAAGCGACGGCGGACGCTGCTGCACAGCCCGGCCCCGGCCCCGCGCGGGGCACGCCGGGAGCTGTAGTTTCCCGCTCTGCGGCTCCCGCGGAGCACGCTGGGACTCGTAGTCGCCGCGGAGGAGGCGGTGCTGCCGGCAGGACTGCGCGCTCATTGGCCAGAGGCGCGGCGAGAGGCGGTGTCTCTGGGGGCCCGCTCGCCGCCGGTTGGCTGAGCCGAGGCCCCGCCCCCGGCGCGGTGCCGTCAGTTCCGGCGGGCCGCGCCGCCCCGCTCATTCTCTTTGGTGTTTGCCCTGTGCCGCCGCCGGTCCCGCCCGGCCCATGGACTGAGCGACCCCCGCCCGCCCCGGCGGCCGGGCCGAGCCGGCCGGGGGGCAGCGCGGACAGCGCCCGCCCCTCCCGGCTCCGCCGCACCGCGGCCCGGCTGTGCCCCGCTCCCTGCGGGGCTCCGCAGCCTCTCCCCGTTTCCTGGGCAGGACGCTCGTTTTCCCGGGACGTACAGCAACAAGTCCCGCTCGGGGCTCCCCGCAGCCCGGGCGGTCCGTGCGGGGATGCGGCGCCTGCGGCCGCCGGAGCCTTCCCGCGGTGCCCTCGTCTGCCGGGGCTGGTGCCGTGACTCGCCCGCAGGTCCCGCGGGGTGTCAGTGCGGGCGGCTGTGCGTGCATGCTCACATGTCAGTGAGCCCGAGTACCTGGATGCAGTCTGTGCTCTGCTCTTGCAATGGTACATTTATGAAGTCGTGTTTCCTCTAACCAGAACGTGCAGGTGTACTGCGCAGGTCCCTGCTCAAACTGGAGGCAATGCTTTGGGTTTGTTTGTTTTAATACTAGTGGACATGAGAATTTGAGTTCTGATTATGCAGCTGTGGCTGCAGTGTAATAAAGTGATTTCTGGCTTGTCTGTTGATTATTTCGTACATGCAACAGATGTGTGTTCTGACTTCTACAGAGATTCACTCCAGGTCTGTCACATCTTGATGAGAATGTGAAAAGCCCAGGGGCTGGATTTGTTACTATATTTTCTATTTTCTGAAGCTGTGTCACAAACTTATTTCCAAACTGTTCTAAAAGGATGCATGCAAGAAACAATTCCTTTCATGTCGTTATTTTAAGAACCACTCTGTTCAGAGTTTTTCATAACATCATGAATCATTTTTGCACTATCAGTACAAGTCAGTCAAAATGTGTTTTGTGGCAAAATTATTCATAGGTTGAAATAAATTAGAAGTGCTATGACTGTACAAAGTCAGAGCAGAACTGGAAGTTGTGCCTTTCAGAGCCTCCTGAAGAGCAGCAGCTTTGTTTTGGAGGCAAATGAACATTCCAAAGCTCCTGTGGCCAGGCTCCTGCCAGGGCTGGTCATTTCATGGAGGAGCTGCAGGTGCCCCAGGGCAGTGCAGGGGGTCTGGGCCTGCTGGCCCTCAGCAGCCTCCCTGCTCCACTGCAGGGAAATGCCCAAATCCGTGACCTGTTTTGTCACAGCACTGGCTGAGCCACAAGCATCACTTGGGTGTTTATTCATTATATCTCTGCTGGTTTGTCAATTGGCTTTGTTTGGAACTCTCTGGTTTATGTGTATGTTTGGTAGTTCCCTCTTTTCATTCAGCTTTTACTTTCAAATTTTAGCTTTTCTTCTCATCAATAATCCATGTCTTGGCTCCCAGACTCCTTTGCATAACATTTGGTGTTTGTGCCCTTACCAAAAAGAGCAGCATCTTTTTCTACAGTGTTACTTTTGGGAAGGACCCTATGTTTCAGAAATGTTGCAGAAGGTTTATCTAAGAAGAAAACATTGTTCAACCAGTATTTTACATTTTGTGCAGATAGCCTTAATTCCGTAAAATTTAGTCATTGTTTATCAATTTATAGTGGGAGTTTCCAGTTGTAAATAGATGCTGTTAAACACTGTTGCAGCAGCCTGAGGGTTTTATGCTGTATGTTACAAAGCTCCCCCTGATGTGGGTTTTTCAAAGGTATTTTAGGTAACAGCATCTCAACAAATCTAGAGTTTGTGGGTATTTATGTTTGTGCCTCAGAATGGCTGATGGTTGTGTCTGGCATTTGTCCTGCTCCTCAGGCTGCTCTGGCAGAGCAGGGTGGGGATGGGGGCACGGCTGGTTCCCAGCGAGGGGCACGGCGAGAGTGGCAGGGCCTGCAGGAGCCTGCAGAGGAGCAGGGCAGCTTTCCTGGGCAGGACCCTGTGAGATGTGTGCTGCCTGTTCCCTGGCAGCAGCCAGCCCCTTGTGTCCTGGGACAAGAGGTGGAAGGTGGGCAGCCTGGGGTCAGCCCGGGGCTCGTGCAGCCCCCTGCAGAGCAGTGTGCCCCCCCCAGCCTGGCCGTGGCTCCCAGGGCCCTGCAGCCTGAGCCCTCTGCACCAGAGCAGGGTGCTTCAGGGTGACTGCCAGGAGTGCTTTTCTTGATGCTTTTTAAGCCCGCTGCCTCTCGTTCTGTCACTTTAACCATAAAGAACAGATTGTTCCTTTCCACTCCAAAATCCTTTCAAGTCTGTGAACTGCTGGGTCTCGGGCCCCAGCCAGCCCTCTCCTCTTCAGAACACACGAGTTCAGATCCTTTAGCAGTTTTCTGAAGGGAATGTTTTGGGCTTTTTCTCCTTCGCTTCTGCCTGCAGCCTGGTCCCGGGGCGGGTGCAGGGCCCAGCTGAGGCTGTGTCTGAGTGCAGCTCGGGCTGGCTCTCCCTGGCTCCCTCAGCGTGGGGAGGGCTCCTTCTGAGGCAGCCTGGCAGCGTCGGCTTGTGCTAGGAGCGGTGTTGGTTGTGACTCTTCTGCACTCTGCTGGTGCCCATCAGTGGTGTCTGTGCCATGGGGACCAGCGGGCAGTGCCTGCACAGCCCCTCGGGCGTGTTCTGCTGAGGTGGAGGGGTTCATTCTTGGCAGGGCTACCAGGAATGGCTGCGAGAGAAAGTTCTGTTGTTTTTATGCAACTTGGTCTTGGTCCTGCCTGCAAATATGATACATTTCCTTGTTTTTCAGATGGTTAGTTTAGCCTCCAGAAAAGCCTGTAGAAGAGGAGTTGAGCTGACTGTAATCCTCTTGTGTTCCCTCTTCACTCTGCTGTTGGTCAGACTGGGTGATGCCAGCCTGGTTCAGGATCTGCAGCCTCCTTGGTTCCAGCAGGAGAGCTGCTCACAGTCCTAGGAGTCAGCCTGACAGTTTGAAATCCCTGTCTGAAGAAGTGCAAGAGCTCTGTCCTCTTCTAACCCTGATCAAGATTGGGCTCTCCCCCATTTTGTGGCTGGGAATGATGTTGCTGGCATCTGCACGCAGTTGGCTTAGGCATGGAAAAGAAGGATTAAACACTTTGTGCTATATTTGTAAGCAGAATAAAATAGGTTTTGATTTCCATTTAGAGCAGTCCGTGCAGTGACAGGTTTCATATGCAGCACTGAGATAATTTTGTTCTGAAATGGTTTTAGCCTATTTGTGAGTGAAATCACTGGACTGTAAATGTAGCCAAAAGGTAGAATTTATATAATTTTCTGCGATTAATAACTACCAGAGTTTCTCAGTTTGTGGCTTGCTTTTGGTTTGGCTTTGTGAATGAAGGTCTGAGTCTAATTTTGGGAGCTGATCTCTAGGGCTCTTAGGAAGAAGAGCTTCACTAGGGAAGAACTGGAATCCTCACTACAGAAGGAAAATTGGCAAGTGATTGTTGTAATTCTGCAAAGAGCACTGTTGTGAGATTCCACTGCTTGGGTGAGAAGCGTCACTTGGGCTTGGGGAAAGAGCAAGGAAGATTCTTGGATCAGGTTGGGAATTCTGCTTGGAAAAGCAGCTGTGTTGAGCAGTTTGTCAGTGCTAATGGAAGGGTCATACAAGTCTCACGATCCAGCTTCAGCAATATCAAACTTCCTTTCCAGCATGATCTCAGGCATCCTGGTGTTTCTGACATCAAAATGACAACTTTTGGTGTTGTCCTCTTAAAACGGGTGACTGAAAACTGTAACTTCAGTTCCTTAGAAAGACATTGCACTAGAGCAGGGAAGGAGTGTTTGCTTTTCTGCTTGCAAGATTTCATTGCATTTCTTCATCTGCAAGACTTTGCTATAGTCTTTGCCAGGCAATTACTATTGTGTTATATCTGAAATTTTCAGTGATTCTAGTGGTGTTCTTGGGAAAGAAACTTAGTGATTGTAAAGTTATTACCCTGGAGTCTTATTCTAAATACTTTTCTTTTTTGTCTTACAATTTCTTAGATGTCCTTTAGAGAGATTCTCTAATGCCACTCTCACAGTTACAATGCACCCCGTGTGTCACTGCTGCAAATTTAGTAGCCAAACATAGGATTTGTTTTGAGCATAATCTGCATATGTGTCTCCTGGACTAATGAGACCTGAACTATTCTTGCTCTCTAGTAAAAACAAAGTTATCCAGGTGGTAGTATGATAAGTCTGGCATGTTTATGATTTTTTTTCTGGAGTAAAAATACTCCAGATGGTAAATTTGGTGATGTATCTGTTGTTTCCCAGTAGTTTCTTACCTCTTATTTAATAGATAATGAAATCTTTCTATCCATGAATGTATTAATCTAGGTTCTTCTCCTTGGCTTGTTTTGTCAGTAACTAGCTAAAAGGTTCCCTCTGACTCATTGCTGCTCCTCTCACATTTGGAAATCCATTCACAGTTCAGAATGTGGAGCTCACAGAGCACTAGTGCAGTTGTGGTGCTGCTAATAGCCCCCTGGTGGTAGCTGGAGCAGTGATTTCTCTTTTTCACCTCGGAGTTAGGGAAGAATAAACCTTTGTTTGCTGCCCTGATCAGATCTGTAGGTGACTGGTGTGTGTGTGTGCACGTGTGAGTGCCTTGGTGTGTGAAATGGATTTACTTGGCTGTAGAATGTATTTTTAATAAATAAATTGATATGTGGCTTGTAAGTGGATCTGGACAGCTGACCTGTTTGTGTCTATTTAGGTTCACTGGCTGAACATGGAGATAATTTTGCATCCATGTGTAAGAGAAATCTAATACTAATTTGTCAGCACAGGGAAGATCTGTCACAGCCCTGCACACGGGCTGGGGCACGTCCTGCCCTCCAGGGTGTTCAGTGGCCATAGGTGCCCATGAGCACTTCCCACACTTGCTTACAGGGCCAAGGGACTCTGGATTGATGCTTGAACTGTGACTGAGACATGCCCTGACTTAAATCAAAGTAACCTTCAGAATACATGCAGCTGATACAGTTTATGAACTCTTGCACCTTTGCTTTTCCCAGCCAGAGCTACTTCAGCATTTCCTGCTGCACTCCAGCTTTTTCCCCTCATAAGCAGCTTGGCATTCTTGGTGATCCTGGGGAGAAACTCTATGATAATAATAAAGGATGTACTCTCTAAATTTTTTTTTTAAAGGCTGCATTTATTTCTTGCCCTCCAAGTGAAAAAGTTTAATTGCAAATGGTAGAATGCATGAAATGTAATTTGTCTGTGGAAGTTGCTCTTTGTTCAGTGTGTAACCAGTGGCTCTGGGTGTAAGTAACAGGATTTGCTTCCTAAGTGGATTCAGTCGTGGGGAAAAGAGATGGACAGTAATGAATAAGCATAAATAAAGCTTCTGTACTACTCTTGTGTGAATGAAAGAAGTGTGAAACACGGTGGGGCTGCTGTGCACACTGGATGTGTGAGTGCCTGACTGCACAAAATGGGAGCAGTGGCTGCTTGGCTGAACACTGCTTCCCTGTGCTCCAGTGGAGGAATTATTCCAGTAGGTTGTTAGAGAATGCTAAATATTTAGTATAATCTATTTTTCATCTTTACATTTTAGGTCAGCAATTCGGCTTCCAAAATTGGAGTTTGTCTGCGTTCAAAGCTGTTTGCCTACAGTAATCTGCTCTGGTTGGAAGTGAACATGTCTCAAGTTCAGATTCAGAATCCTTCTGCTGCCCTTGCAGGGAGCCAAATACTGAATAAAAACCCATCTCTTTCACAGCCTTTGAGTATTCCTTCTACTACCAGTTCTTTGCCCTCTGAAAATGCAGGCAGACCTATCCAGAACTCTGCTTTGCCCTCTGCTTCAGTCACATCCACCAATGCAGCTGCAGGTAAGATGGAGGGGCAGTATTTTTGGTGCTTATAGTTTAGCATGATATATTCCTGATGTCTTGCACCTACATGTAATTTAAAAGTAATATTTATCCAACTGCAGTAGCTCCCTATGGAATGAAATCTGTTGGGAGACAGGTAGAAGCATATTTTTGCATAAAGTTCCAGCAATTCATTGATATGTTTGTAATAGTAAAGAACATTTTTAATTGTATTACATTAAATTTTTGAAACATTACTATCAATCTTTTCTACTGGTAGCATGTTTTAAATATGAAAAAGTGTTGTTTGAAATAGTTTGTTTAGTTCTGTTATTTTTAGTTTTTATGACCAGTTTAATGATAAATATATTATGCTATCAAAATGCAACAGAAAAAATAAAGGGTGATAAAAAGTAGCTAATAAGGGAAAAATAGGAGAAGGGAAATGAAATTAACTGAGTTTTTGAAATTATTCAGAGCAATGATAATGAGGAATACTTGGGAGATTTGTTCCTTGACACGTACTAGATGTGAGCTGTTTGCAGGAGTCTTCTAACTTCATACTTCTAGCTTGCATTAGAACCTAGAATGTAATGATGGTGCTTTTTAGGCATGAGCACTGCTTGGAAGACCCAAAGTTCAATAGATTGTTACCAGTTTGGCCAGTGAGCAAAGCTGTCTGTTCCAGCACTGCAGACAACTAGATGCTAAGCCACTGGGATTACTTTTTTAAATTAAAATTTGTAGTAAAGTTCCCAGATACCAGTTCATTTATCAGAGCTTATGTAACCTTTCAGCTCCTTCAAACATGGCAAACCCCAAAGAGAAAACCCCCATGTGTCTTGTGAATGAATTAGCCCGTTTCAACAAGATTCAGCCTGAGTATAAGCTTCTGAGTGAGCAGGGTCCAGCTCATTCTAAGGTAAATGTTCATACCAGTTTCTTACTGCTGCTGCTCATCTCCTTCACCTTTGGGAGTGGGAAGAAATCACAATGTGTGTGATTTTGGTGCAAGATAATCCAGAGCAGTGGAGAGGAAAGGGAAGCCCCCCACGGCATCAGTGGTGGGGAAGTGTGAAGCTGGTACCTGGGAAGTAAAAAGCTGAGTTCCAGAAATGTCACATGAGCTTCAAGGTGTGAAGGAGTTGACATTTACAAAAAGTATTGGAATAACATTCAGAACATCTGTTCAATTGTGTTTCATTGATCTGTGGGCATGTAGAAGCCCACAGATGGTACATTGTGAACTTAACTTTCTTCAAACTGCTGAGAAATATTTTTAATAAACCTTCTGGAGGATTAAAGCAAGAGTGGAGTTGTGTCACAGAGAAGGGTGAGTTTCCAGTCTGCTGTTCATGGGCACAGCAGCTCTCCTGGGGCTGTCACCTGTCCCCACACTGCTCTGAGTTTTTAACCTGTCAGATCTCATGCACGATATTTGACAGCTACAATTCTTGTGAAATTCTTAGCTTAGTAATTGGGAAAATCCCGTTGATGTCCAAAGTGGTGGAAATCTGGAGATGACGTGGGAGTTAAGGAGAGCTGGATTACTGTATTCTCAACTTGTGCATCACTGAAAGGCTCATTTTGTGTAAGAGGGTCTGATAAACTACATAAATTCTGGAGAAGCTTTTTACAAAATACCTGTTTGTGGTTTTGAGGTGTTTACAGTGCAGCTGACTCTTGGGGACCAGCACTGGGAAGCTGAAGGAACTAGTATTAAAAAAGCGCAACATGCAGCAGCTGCCAAAGCTTTGGAAGGGACAAAATTCCCTAAACCTACGGCTCGTCCATCTCGTAGTGAAGGCAAGAATCCAGGTACATGCCACAACAAACTGATGTAAGATAATCATACATGCAGAGAATACACCTTTCTGCTTTTGGTATGTACTGAAGTTGTATGAGGATGAATAAAAACTGTGATTCTGCCTGTTTGGCAATGGCAATTGTCACCTAGCAAGTACTTATTTTGTCTGTGCATCTGTTCCATAGGTCATTTTCTTTTGGCAATTGCCTTACACCAGACCTCTTGTACTGGATTACAGCTGATTTCTGAGCCAGTGAGACCTGTGGTAGAAAAAATGACACTTAATGAGTGTTCTTTCTCCAGTCAGAATGGACTGGGAGCTAGTTCTTCATGCCCACAATACCAGCACTGAGAGAAATGTTTTAGCCCTCAGTAGCAATTTACCTGCTTTTTGACAAGGCCAGTTGCAATTTGAAAGTGAAGAGTCATAGAAACCCTTCTAGGTCATTGAGGACAGAGAAATGTTTGATCATTCTCAGTAAGCAAGAGACACAGAAGGGATCCAGCATATTTGGTGACTTAAAAATATATTTGGAGAAATTTTTTCACTGCAGAAAATTCTTCATCTGCACTTTGTTAGATACACTGTAAATGTAGGTAAATTAGCAGCTTCAGAAATTAAAAGCAAAATTATAAAACCCTCCAAAATAAATCCAATAAGAGCTCCCAGCAAATTCACTTTTTTGTAACAGGATTTGTCACAACTGTACTAGGACCCTTTAATGTGCATCATATAGACTTATTCTCTTTTTGTTCATTAGCAGTTCTGTTTGGAATTCAGTCATTTAAGATGCTGCATGTGGCAAAAGTTGAGCTCATTTTTCCCTGCTGTGAGCCAGCAATAAGAGCTTAAATTGTCTCAGTTTCTTGTGATAGCTGAACAACCCTTTCTATTCCTTTTTCTGCAGACAGTGTAACCCCCACAGTGGAGTTGAATGCCCTTTGCATGAAGCTGGGGAAGAAGCCCATGTACAAACCCATCGACCCTTACACAGGGATGAGATCCACCTACAGCTACACCATGCGAGGTGGCACCTACCCCCCACGGTGGGTGCTGGCTGGGGCTGCAGGCTCCCCCTCTGCCCCCTGTCCCCCTCCAGGGACACTCACCTCGTGGGGCACCCCCCAGTATCTGTAACGTGCCTCATTTCCAGTGCTGTGTTTCTTTGGGGTGGGGCAAGGCAGCTGGACTGAAAGTTGAAGTGTTTTTGAGAGTGTTCAGGTAAATATATAGCTAAATATTAGGTAAATATTTCTTGCATTTCCTTTCTGTGTAAAAGCAAAAGTGAAGAAAACAGGTTGATGCTGCTTCTTCTGAAACAATTTGAATTAAAGTTACAGTTTAAAGAATTTTATGTAGGCATAGGAACTTAAAATTCAAAACTTCCTGGCTTGCCAAGTCCATACAGGTGCGGTTATGTTGTCTTGGTGTAGCACTTGGTCAGAAATGTGTTCCTGTTGTAAAGCAAGGAATGTCAATATTTGTTTCAAAGGTAGCTCACTAAATTCTTTTAGGCTCTAAATCAAAATTTGGCTTTTTAAAACTAGTGCTTCAGTGCTGGTGTGGTTACTGACATCCAAGAGATTGACCCACATCTGACTTAGGTGTCTGTTTCCTTTGCAGGCCAAGTAATTTGCTTATTCCCCTCTCTTTTTGCAGGTACTTTTACCCATTTCCTGTTGGGCCTTTACTTTATCAAGTGGAGCTTTCAATTGGAGGGCAGCAGTTTCATGGGAAGGGAAGAACAAGACAAGCTGCTAAGCATGATGCAGCTGCTAAAGCTCTGAAAGTTCTGCAGAATGAGCCCTTGCCTGAGAAACCAGAGGTGGGAATTAATCTTGGTGTTGTAAGCATAAATTGCTAGAATAAACTGGGATATTATTGTAGATTTTTTCCTTGTTGAGAATTGAGGAGACAGTTGGGAAATCTGATTCTGTGTAGTAGTGGTGACTTACTTGTGTCAATAGAAACACTTTGATGTAAAAGCATAAATTTCTATGGAACTAGAATTTTCCCAGATGAAGTTATGTTAATTTTTTTACTGTCATGTTTTTCCACAGCAATGCTGTAGACCTCTGTCAGATATGAGCACTGGAAGCATAGATAGGAATTAATGTCTTACCAGGTACAGATCATACACAAACTTCTAAAGAGGTGCATAAATGGGCAACATAAAACTCAGGCATGGATTTACTTCCTAGGACAAATTCCTACATGATTTTGGAAAGCACCATGGAAGTTTTAGAAGAGCAGGAAATGCATGGAAATAGTAGACTCAAACACACATAGGAATATAAGAAATCAATTTTTATCCCTTCATATATTTATGGCTGCCCAGCACTTTCCGTTCCAATACCATTATTGTGTTTTTCATGCTTTTTTGTTGAGTGGCTTTAGGCAGATGGTCTTACTGTGAGCACAGGAGTTGCTTTGCTGCTGGGCTGGCTGGGAGCCTGCACCCCTTCATGTGTGTTGGCTGCTTTGGGCAAAGGCAGAGCTGTAACTTCAGTCTGGGGATTTGGGATATGGAGTCTGGCTGTGAGCTGAGAAAGAAGGAAAATGAAGAATTGGACAAGAAGTTAACAAGGGGTCTCAGACTGCGAAAAAAAATCACTGGGAACTACCAGGAATGGCAGAGCAAGAGGCTTGAGGAAGCATGAAGCCAGGGGACCCTGAGATGAAACTTGGTGTGTCTGGGAGTGAGCATTGCCCAGGCGGTTGGGCAGAAGCACTGGATCTCACACTTCAGGGCAGAGGCTGGGGAGGCACTGATGGAGCTGCTTCAGGGAAGGGAAAGCTCTCCTGAGGAATGCAGACTGGAAGATGGAGGCTCCTAGGGATTACAGATGCTTTGGGAAAAAGAGTGTGATGCTGGGACTTGGGCTGAGCGCTGCCCTGAAACCTGAACTGGTGACTGGCACAGTGTGGGCAGGGGCCAGCTGGTTGTCATGCAGGAGAGGCCAGAGCAGAGGAGGATGTTCCCCTTCAGTTGTGGGAACCCCAGATTCTGGAATATTGTTCTGTGTCGGTGGTGCAGAACATCCCCTTTTTGTGCCACCCTTGTTACAGATGAGCTGGGCCCTTTTCCCCCTCAGGGAGCACAGACCCAGGGAGAGCAGCTCTGCAGGGCTCACATGGCACTGAATTGTTCTCTGTTCACTCTTCTAGGAATGCTTCAGCACAGGTCACTTTGTGAAAATACATAGAATTGTGGAGCTGGATAATGTGAGGTCTTCAGTACAAACTGCAGTTGTTGTAGGATGTCTCACTCTGTGTGAGGGGTGTACATCCAGAGGTAGAGGAAGTAAATGAGGATAGAGGCTGCAAGAAGGGGGAATTATTTTATTGATAAAACAGGACCTGAATGGTGTCTTGACCTTGAGAAAACTGCATTTGTAATTTTATTTTTCAATTTAAATTTGACTTGTCTGTAGAAGGAACAGTAGAAAATACAGCTTAGGGAAAGGAGAGTGGGCCTTGGCACAGGGTGCTGGTTTATAGCAAGTACTTGGATAATCAAGTGTTCATTTAAAGTTTGGTACTTAAATTCATTGGTATTTGTGGCTTTCAACTGTTGTAGTTGTAGGAGTGTCTGAGGGAATTGTTTCTGTAGCAGCATTTCACCATAGCCAAGAGGAAAGGTAGAGTAGGAAGGTTGTGGTGCTGAGTGAACCCTGTTCAAGGGCCTGGAAGGACACAGGAGTGTGAGGTGATGAGAGATGCTGTTAGAAATGCCTGTATACAACAGAGGCAAAGGAAGATTTCAGAAGCAGACATAATCCTGATCCTTCCTAACAGTCATTTGATGTTGCCAGTAATTTTCCCTTTAAATGTGGTTATTTTGGTGTATCCCATTTGAGTGTACGCTTGTGTAAACAGAATATTGTGATGTTTGAACTCGTGTTTTAAGAGCGAGTAATTTTGTACATTTTTTTATTTGGGGGGATTTTTTTACAAGTTTCTGTTTTTATGGAATTTTACTTTTGTATTCTTAAATTAGAAAATATTCAGTGCATAATAGCAGTTGGGCGCAATGATCTTAAAGATCTTTTCCAGCCTAAATGATTCTGTGAGTCTAAGAAGAAATCATTGACTAAAATGATTAGACTTTAAGGGAAAGAATGACCATTTCCCACAACTTTTTGGGCTGCAAATCTAGGAGCAAGTGGCAAGAAAAAACATGTAATAATGCTGGCTCTTGGCTGGACCCAGCCCTGCCTGAAGAGCTGAGCTGGTGTTAGAGCTTTGAGAGGGGCTGTGGTGGGACAGCTCACAGGGACCTTCAGTGGGCTGGGCTTGGATGTGCTGGGGAAGGAGCAGGATGGCTCACTCAGCACTTTCAAAGCCAGATGATAAAACATTGACTTAAAGCTTAGGAAACATGGACAGCTGGGCTTCCTAGCATGATTCTTAGGCAGGAATTGTGATTTTGCCTCAAAATTTACTTCTGCGTTTGTTGCCAGCTCACTTGGTAAATACCAGCTGCTCTTTGTGCCCTTAATGTGGGAGGACAGGCTCAGGCTGGTGGCTGTGGTGAGGCCCTGCAGTTCTGGGCACACCTCACCCGTGTTCAGACTTTGCTCACCAGCCTTGAGGAAGGGAGGGGAGCTGGAAGGAGCCCCTGGAAGAGGGCAAGGCCCTCCTCATGGAGTACAGGACTTGGCGAGTTTGCTTGAACAATGTGATGAGAGCTAAGAATGGTAAATGCTTTGGGGTCTCATTGAGATTTAGAGACACATAATTCTTGGAGAGTTTAGTCAATGCAAACATGCAAAATACCTCAAAAGCAAACTTTAGGCATCATCTGCCTTGAAGTGTGCAGGGAAAGGGGGAGAGTGTGTGTGTATGATTATTTTTTATTTATAAAGTAAACTGATCCAGAACTCAAATAGAGTCAAAATAATCAGTAAAATAGTTGTAGTCTGTTAAGGATTATTTATAATTCACTCTTTTTAGATGAAGGTATTAAGGAAAAGAACCTTCATTTTGCACTGTGCACACAGACTTGGAATGTATTAAGAACATACACTGCAATAGAGCAGATAATTACATTCTATTTATTTGTATTCTCTTGAGAGGATATTAAGTGGGAAAATTTATTCCAATAAAGACAAGTCATAGTCATCTTCACAAAGAAAAATGTGGGAATTTGAAACACTGATATTACAAGGAGAGGAAAAGTGCTTGTAATTGAAGTTGTGGCAGTGTTGGTGAGTGAGGGCAGGGAGAGACCTACTATTGTGGCATGATATAATCAGTGGTATTGTTGCTGTTCATCTTTATCATAATCTTTCCAATGTCACTGCTGGACACCTAAAATTTCCCGTTTACTGTTGGCATGCCTTAGCTCATGTGGGTGCCAGCATCAGTGAAGACTTTTGGAATCCCAGTGAAGGTTTTACCTGGAGATACATGCCTGTGGGAAAGCTTCACTGGCAGTGTTGTCCCAGCAGGTCTGAGTTCTCAGAGTGGTCAGTGTTTGGTTTAGGGCAAGCTCCTGACAGGATGTTCTTGACATGAGAAAGCAAAGCTGCAGATGGAGCACTTACATGGAGCATGTGAAAAGGCACGACTGTGCAGGGGCTCATCAGCCATCCCTCACTCACATTGGTCCCACTCTCAGAATCTTTATTTTTCCTGCCCTTTCTCTTACTTGATCCTGTCTTAGTGCTTTTGGTGCAAATGTCCAATCAGTATATGAAAATTGTATTTCATAAAGGTACTTCCATTTGGAAATCAGTGCACTTAGCACTTCAATTTCATTTTCTATAAACACATTTTTAAACCTATTGGCCCTTATTCCATTTTTCTTTCTTGGAATGAGCACATGAAAATATGAAGGTTTGAATGCTTTTACACATACACCTTAATGAGCTTTTTAAGATTCAGTTCTGTAGTATATGGGCTGCTTTTCTCCATGTTCATGTAGCATGACAGTAAAGGTTAGAATATTTAACATTTGGAGAGCTCAGTAAACTGGTTGAATGGATAAAATTCAATTTAATAGGATCTTTATTTTAAATAGAGTATGCTTCTTTTAGGTTAACGGAAAAGAACCAGATGATGAAAATCTCAATAAATCTGAAATAAGCCAAGTTTTTGAGATTGCACTTAAAAGGAACTTGCCTGTGAATTTTGAGGTATGTTTACTTTACAAGCTCTAGATTTGTTTTTGTTAGACTATTAAGGGTACACATTAAGTTGAGTCTCTTCTAGATAACCTAAACAACTGACTTTTAACATGTCTTGTTAGTTGTGAATGCACTTTAAGCTTTGACAGTCACCTTGATTGTCTTGGAGTTTATATGGTAAAGGAAAGAAAAAAGAAAAACCCACGTGTTCACAAATTCATGCCCTGAAATGGTCACATGGACTGAACAGCTACGCTGTGGTTGTCTGTGCAACCTTTTTTCTGAGCTTTTTGAGAAAAGCTTATTTACAGTGAAGAACCAAAACACAACCCTGCATTAATGATTAGAACATGGAGGTGCAGAGTCGAGGCAGAAGAGTAGAGCTCGCTCTGAAAGACACATATGGAAGTATTTGCTTCATTCAGCACTGATCTGGACTACCCTGAGTGCAGAATCTCACAAGTAGGTTTCTTTTCTTGCCATGAGGTGACCTCATGTGCATCTGACTTTCCTTTCCCTTTGGCCTGGCTGCTTGCTGCCTCTTTGCCCCTCTTGATCATTTCAGTTATCTTAAATCGGGAGCTTCCACAGGAGTGTCTCTGTTTCACTAAAATATTAATTTATCATGCTGCTTTTCTGAGCTGGTAAAGTAATATTTAAGCCAACCATCTGAATTATTGTAGTAAGAAGATGCAATTGTGTGTAACTAAATTGCTTCTGAAACTGTTCTGTGAAATTTTACATGAAACTTTCAATTATTGCAGACTAGCCTGAGCATCACTGGTAAAAATACACTGTCACACAAAGCCAATTGTGGGTGGAAGCTCTTAAAATTCATTCTTAGTTTTTGACTTTATGGATATTTTGGAGTGTGATGTGTTATGAATGGAGTTAAAAGCCTAAATCTGTAGCGGGCAGCTGTCTCTTAGATGTCTTCAGAACTTCAGAGTTCAGAAATCAGAATTTCTGGACTAAAATGCTAGATCCCAAAGAGTTGCTTTCTCTGTGATGTTTTATTGCTGTACTGTGATATATTTAATGAGGTGCTGTTAACTGTGGGGAAGTACACACTGGTAAAATAGAACAGTCCTAATTTTGTACTGAAGCAGTAAATCAGTAAATTGAATAAGATGGGTTAATGACTTCTGTAAATACTGTTTACTGCTTGGTGCATCTGATCTTTTAAAAATATATGCTTAGTTGGGTGGGAATATGTTTTAGAGTGAATATGTTTTACTTTTTGGATTGTATGAGAATCTGCAATCTCTTTATCCTTAGTTCTTGAGAGAAGTTTGCTGTAAACAATGTGCCCTGCCATTTTTAATAAGTGTTTATCACGCTTTCACTCAGTTTTTCCCTCTGAAACAGGTGACCAAGGAAAGTGGTCCTCCCCATATGAAGAGTTTTGTAACCAAGGTATCAGTTGGAGAATTCATGGGTGAAGGTGAAGGGAAGAGCAAGAAGATCTCAAAGAAAAATGCTGCAATAGCAGTCCTAGAAGAACTGAAAAAATTGCCACCCCTTCCTACAGTTGAGAAAATGAAGCCACGAATCAAAAAGAAAACAAAATCAATAGTGAAGGTAAGGGGAAAAAGATTGGAAATTTGGTGCAAGTAATCACCAGAGAGGCTTTTCTGAGTTGGTTATAAACACTCTTCAGCTGCTCAGCCTTTACCAGCCCTCTGGTGCAACAAATGAGCTGGTATTTTGCTCCCACTCTAATGGGGTTCTGACACCACTTTTATAGCAGTTTATCAGTAAATTCAAGATGAAAGAGAAACCTTATAAAGGAAAGAGCAGCACATAAAAATCAAGCTCTGACTTTCAAGCCTCAGACTTTACAGCTTTGGGTTTTGCTTGTACAAATTCTCCTGCAAGGCTGTCCCTCCTAATACAGCAGGATTAGGATTTGTAAAGCTATTAGCAGGGTAGGTTACATGTGGTCAAGTGTGACAGTGGAGCCAAATAAATTCAGTTTTTCTCTTTGGCTGTGACAGCATTTCATTAAGCAACTTTTATTTGAGTATTTTTAAAATCTAGAGGTTAATTAATTCAGTAGCATGCTGCATTCTGTCTATTAAATCAAATATTTGTAAAGTTTGGCTTATTTTCTTAACACTGTTCTATGTAGCTGCAGACAAGTCCAGAATATGGTCAAGGAATGAATCCCATTAGCAGACTTGCCCAGATACAGCAGGCCAAGAAGGAGAAGGAGCCCGAGTACATGCTCATCACAGAACGGGGGCTGCCCAGGCGCAGGGAGTTCGTCATGCAGGTGGGTGTGATGGCCCTGAGCTGGGCTGTGACCATGGCACACAGCTGGGTATGGCTGTGATGGCACACAGCTGGGTGTGGCTGTGCCCATGGCACACAGCTGGAGGTGTGGCTGTGATGGCCCTGAGCTGGGCTGTGCCCATGGCACACAGCTGGGTGTGGCTGTGCCCATGGCACACAGCTGGGCTGTGGCTGTGCCCATGGCACACAGCTGGAGGTGGCTTGAAGACCAATGATTATTGGTAATAAATGGCAACTTGCACAGAACAATGATCACTTGAACTATTTTGTGACTCTTGGCATGCTGGAGACACAGATCACTAATAAGGGAATCCCCATACTGCTGCTTAAGAATTGAGTTTTCTTCCTCTTCTGCCCAGGTGAAAGTTGGTGTACACACAGCTGAAGGAATGGGCACGAACAAGAAGGTTGCTAAACGCAATGCAGCAGAAAATATGTTGGAAATTTTAGGTTTCAAAGTCCCTCAACCTCAGCCTCCGAAACCAGCATTAAAGACGGAAGAGAAGGTGAGTCTAGAGGAGGCAGCAGCTGGTTAATGCTGCAGCAAAGGCTGAGCTGAAGAGAAGCAGCTTTGCAAGGCAGTAACAGGGTAGGAAATTCATTCCCTCTGCCCCAGCCAGGAAACAATTGTATTGAGGGGACTGCTCTCTGAAAAAATATTAAATATCCAGTGTTTTGGATACATTAAGTGTTTGGGTTTTCTGGTAAATCAAAGTCTCATCAGAAGGATAAATTAATGAATTTGTGCTTTATGAAATGTCTCAGGACCTGTGATAATTAATGTGTTGGTCTTAAAAACTTGCAGACCTGTAGGTTGTAGTCCTCTGCTAGCAGTAGTTTTACACTACTTGCCACAGTTGCAGTGAAAGTTCGTTACAGGTCTCTGGTGGGTCTCTTAGGGAAGGAGCCTTCTGTGTTCTGCTGGTGACTCAGCAGATGCTGCCAGGGAGTTCAGACAGCAAACCCAGGGCTGGTTTCTCCTTTTCACACATGTGCTCATTGGTGTCTGGTGTGCTCCCCTCAGCAGTGACTAATGGCAGTTAAACTGGCTTTATTCTGCTATCTGGTTCTGAGTAGCTGTGTTCCTAATACCACTTCTCTGAGATGTGGTAGTTTTAGGCCTTCAGTGAATAAGAATCACTGAACTTCTCTTTTTTTTGATAGCAATATAGTTATTGATGTTTTTGAATAATTTTTTTCAGTAAAAATTTGGCTGGTCAGATCACCTGCATTTTGAAAACTTTAAAATTTGCGGGGGAGGGGGCGGGGGAGGTTTTAAAGAGATATTGTGTGTTTGAGTTATTTTCCTTTTATTTTTAAGACCCCAGTGAAGAAACCAGGTGATGGAAGAAAAGTAACCTTCTTTGAGCCGGGCTCGGAAGAGACTTCAGCTAGTGAGTAACCTGGTGAAAGCTGCAGGGCCCTGCTGGGGGTGGCAGGTCTGTTCCCAGCCCCTTCAGCAGTGCCACCTAGCACTCTGGGATGAGCAGAGCTGCCTTGTAAACCAGATGGAGCCCTTGGAAAGGTTTGGTTCAAGCCCCAAAGAGCTTATTCCTCCCGAGGGCCCTGTTCCTGGCATGAACGTGAGAAAGGGTGTCAGTGCTAACTGGTCAGAGTTGGAGAGGGGAAGGAAGGGCCTTGCCCAGAACCACCTCAGTCTGTGCCTGGTCTCTGATGACTGAGAGCAGGGGCTGTGCCTGCCCCTGTTTCAGGCAGTGAATAGTTGTGGTGGTCACACCCAGGGTGGCAGGCTGGAACCAAAACACCTCAAACCTGGCCACCCTGGACACAGACATTGCTTTCTGGGATGTCATCTGGTGGGAGGAATCATTATGGAAAGTTTGTCTGTCACCACAGATTGCTGTTCTGGGGAGCATATTTCAGGTACATTATGTGTTTAAATATAACTTTGCTATTTAAATTATAGTAAGTTGGAATTTACTTGAGCTTTAAGTACTGTTTTACTGCATCCATAAGACCTTAGGTAAACTTCCTGATTTCCTATTCAGATTTTGCTCTCCCTGTTTTCTTCCATTTACAAATTGTGGCTTTCATCCTTAGACTTGAATCAGCTCAGTCCTGCAGAACTTCATTAATCTGTTCTGCTATAAAAATGACTCCTTGGTTTATTTTGGTGGCACTATCTTCCCCACCTTTCTTGAGCACACCTGTGCCTGTTTCATCTATAGATCTCTGTAAGTTCCCCTTAAAAAGCTGTTCTTATCTCTCTTTAAGTCATACCATAATGTCAGCAAATTGCTGCCAGTTGACTGTGGCTGCACATTTGCTGTAAATAGTCTTGCCTCTTTGTGTTGACGTTCCATTTTACCTTTCCTACCTGCTTGTTCTCGCAATGTACAGTTTAAACTTTGTGGACTGTCACTTTCTTTACATCATTTAATGGTGGCACTGGCCATTCCGTGGTTTCATTATTTGCTCCTACAGTTTAAATGATGGAATAAAAAAATCTGAAAGGAAAAGATATATCTAGAATATAGATTGCAGCTGAGGTGTCTGTGAGCTTGACTGACCTGGAGAAACTCCTCCTGGAGGTAAAGGTGCTCCCTTTGGCAGGAGCAGCTGTTGCACTGAGTCAGTAATTCAGTAAGAAAACTGTCTTGATGATGCTGGAGCTCTGACCCTCCAAAGGCTGATTGAGCTTACCAAGTTTGTTAGTATGTCAAAAGTAATTTGAAACGAATTATTTTTTTCCAAAGTGACTTTTGGTGCCTGTGTGTGCCTGCAGGAGGACTCTCAAACAGCAGCTCTTCAGTGTGCACCTCTCTCCTCCCAGGTAATAAAGAAGATGAGTTTAGGATGCCTTATCTCAGCCATCAGCAGCTTCCTGCTGGAATCCTCCCCATGGTCCCTGAGGTTGCACAGGCTGTAGGAGCCAACCAAGGACACCACACCAAAGAGTTCAGTCGGGCAGCTCCCAACCCCGCCAAGGCCACGGTGACGGCCATGATCGCCAGGGAGCTGCTCTACGGGGGCACCTCTCCCACGGCCGAGACCATCCTGAAGAGCAGCAGCTCCTCAGGCCACTTCCCCCACGGGCCTCTCACCAGGCCCTCCGAGCAGCTGGACTACCTTTCCAACGTCCAGGGAATCCAGGCAGGTGTTCAGCTTCACGCGGCTTCTTCCAAAGCTATCCAAGTCTAACCTGCTGTTTGTTCAAAAGCTTTTTAATTCTGTTGGTGAGAGATGAGTTCTGAGCCTGCTGAAATTCATATCACAGTTCTGCTTTACCCATGACATGTACCAAATGTTACATATTTTTAAATTTAATTTTCAAGTGTGCATTTCTGTACCATTCTCAGCCCCAATTCAGGGCTGTTCTGAGGACTTGGAAGAACAAAATTAAAGAAGCATTTTCTGTAAGTTGTCCCAGTGTAAGAAGACATTGTGGACTTGAACTTGGCTGATGTGAAATCAGGTTTTTTCACTAATCTGTCATACACTAACGCATAGCTTACAGCACATGTTTTCTCACATTTGCTCCCTTTAATGGGAATTGCTTTAACTTCCTATATTCATATGACAGATGAGCTCAGTGGATAAAAAAGCATAATACAGAAATTTGAAATGCAGATAGCAGTAATCAGAATAAAGGTTCCAGTAACAGTCATTATTAAGTAGCCACTTGCATTCAGGAGCCTTGCCAAGCTCTTGTGAATACTAAAAAACATTGTAAGTGAGGTTAAACTTCAGATAGAGGGGTTCTGCTGGCTGAGAGCATGAGAAGAAAGGCTCAGTGTCATATATGGGCAAATAATTTGTAGCAGTTGTGATATACTTCTGGTACTCGGTTAACTGAAAAGAAATAAATCCTTCTCTTTTCTTCAGGTTGAATATAAGGACTTTCCAAAAAATAACAAGAACGAGTTTGTATCTCTTATAAACTGTTCCTCTCAGCCACCGCTGATCAGCCATGGGATTGGAAAGGATGTGGAGTCTTGCCACGACATGGTATGAGGAGCATTGGTGGAATGCTGCTCTTGGGCCTTCCCTGAGGGGAGACCAAGGTTTTATATCACTGCTGGGAGCAATTAGATGTTCTACAGTTGCCTGGCTAATTTTTGTCTAATATTTCACAGGCTGCAGAAATAATGGTTAATAATTTCAGAATGCAGTCTAAATAATGCCTAATATGCTAAACATTTTATCACAGTTTTGGTCTACAATAAGCAAAATGCTTTGTCTTATTAGTATTTGCATGAGCCCATGACAGTAAATGCACAAAAAGGAAAGTATAAACCTAACTGCATCTCAGCTTATTTCCTTATTGTATCAGAATGGGCTGATGATTCATTGGGAACCATGATACTTGGGCTGAGCTGGAAAAGGACACTGGTTCTGTAATTTTCTGTCCTTTGTCTTAAGCTCTGCACAGTTTGAGCTGTTACTAATTTAGTGCCTCTTTTCTTGCTGTTTCTAGTCCTGGTGTGTTAGTTTTCCCCCAGCACTGGAACAAGTGCAGTGGGAATCCCCCGTCACAGCACCATCCAGTTGTTTAATGAAGCAACATGAAATTCTACACCTTTGCATTTTCCACCATAACTCTGGAACTTAAAAAAATCTTTTAAAATATTGCCAAAATATTGTTTGGGTTAAGTGAATGCTTCCACTAAATTACTGAACTGTCCAGAGGCTGAATTGCTGAGTGCTCTCTCTTCTCTTTAGGCTGCATTGAATATTTTAAAGTTGCTGTCGGAGTTGGACCAACAAACCACAGAGATGCCAAGGACAGGAAATGGACCAATGTCTGTGTGAGTGTTTCCCACCGACTTCCCTTGCACTGATGCAAATTAACCCTGTGAGAGCTTTTAGACAAATAACATGTGAGGGGTTTGATTTGCCAGAAGGGTTGAAATGCCAAGGGCTGCTTCCCCTCCAGCAGGACCAGAGGCAGGGTTGGATGATCAAGCCTTCCATGTGTCCAAGGCAAAGCACCGAGCAGGAGTGAGTGGGTGAAGTGTGCTGGCTGTGCTGTGACCCCAGCCCAGAGTGACAGCTCTGGGCCCCAGCAGCTCAGCTGCCCCTTCCCATTTCTCTCTAAGGAGTGTGACTCTGCAGTGGCCTTGGGTCTCCAAGTGCTCCTCTCTCTCTCTTGCAATCTTGTGTGTCACAGGTAAAGGGACATGAAGCTCATTTTCAGCAGAAGCATGGAGAAGTGCAAATTATTCTCTTGGCTTGGTTTGGGAGGAGAGAAAGTTGAGCCTCTCATTGAGATTATAAATGCTCAAATTAACAGTGGTGGGATTATCAAAGTGCTAATTGGTTAAAAATTGGGGCAGTTATATGGTAACAAATTGTTAAATGCACATCAAATTATTTGTATCCAATTGAAAATATCTGATTTGTGGAAATAGTGTTTTGTCTCCTAAGTAACAGGTGTTTTCTCATTTTAGATGTGTGAAACAAGAAATGGAAAGTGACCCTCTCCTCAAACCGGCGAGCGCAAACCCTTTGGGACAAACACTGGACAGCACTGCCTGAAACAGGCTCTTGACTGAACCCAAACCTGAAAGCACCAGAGAAAATCAAATGCTTCCTCTTAATGTAACCTAACTGTTGGAGTGCTACAGTCTCTACAACCTACTGTAGTGTCTAAATCATAACTGTTGCTTTTTCTTCAAACAGTGATACATTTTTAGTTTCATTATGTTGTTTTGATTGAAATGACACTATACATTTTTCATTTAAAAGTTTCTTAATTGTATCTAGAACCATAGCACAGTTTAGAAACTTTGTCTTCTGAGACTGACACATTACCTGTGAACTAACTTGGGAAGATCATATCCATGTATGCGGTTATTTTGGTTTTATTGGAATAGCAGCGTTTCACTGGAAACAGGCTGTGTCCCACCATTTTAAAAAGCCCCATATTTTTGCAAACCAACCCTAATTATCCAATGGTTGAATGAATTTAAACACTTTAGGAATTTTAAACTTGGTTTGATCATTTTTGGTTGATTTCTAGTTTTCTGGAGTGTGGGGTAGGGGAACTCGAATGCAACGTGACTTTCAGTGATCTCTGAGCTGTGTTTTAGGGACTGTGTGTTGGTGGCTCACAGCTCACTACAGTACAGGATATGATCTCAATGTAGTGCATATAAAACTGCAGATTGATTTTCCTTGAGTGCTTTATACTGTTTAATTACATCTCCATGTAGGGCTGAAAAAAATTACCTATGTTTATATATAACTGTGTTGCTTTTGATGTTGTGTTCTTGCGCACGGTCGGTGCGCGCTGAGGTTTGCATTGGTCCAGGTACAGCACGATAGCCGCGCGAGTTCAGTACTGCTTCCGTTCATTGTTTACGCTGGAATTTTTTCTCCCCATGGAATGTAAGTAAAACGTAGTGTTTGTCACCAATAAATGGTAATACTAAATTTTTTTGGTTAGTTTATTCCTGTACACCACCACAGGGGCTGCTTTTTTATAGATTTGTAATGCTTGTGCTCTAGTCTGGGCAGTGTGTTGAGCTGTGGAGTAACTTCCAGTGGTTCTCGAGTGCATAGAGAATGTTCTATGTTCTGTGCTGTGCAGGGTGTGCAGACCTGGCAGGGCAAGGGAATGCAAAGTAATGTGGGTACAGTTTGTTATTTGTGCCACAGTGTTAGTGCAGCTGTGTTAATGAGAGCTCAAACTGGACTTTAAAGTGAAACTTAAAAGTTCGCTTAAACGAGGAACCTGGCACAGCCAGTGGATGGGACTTCCTCGAAGTAGAGACGTTAACTCTGTTTCCTTGTTTGCTTGTAAGCTGAGCCCCAGCCTTGCGTGTCCTCAGGGTGCTGGGGGCAGTGCTGCAGAGCAGGCCTGGCTGCTGCAGCAGCACGGCCCCAGCACGGCCCCGCAGGCTGACACGTGTCGCTGTCGCGTCCAGTGTGAGCTACGGTCCGTGTTTACTTACCTGTGACCTGCAGGAGCAGTTCCTGCACCTGTGTGCAGCGCCCACGGAACTTCTGCCACACAGGGCAGTTCCTGCAGGTGCTGTCTCAGAGCTAAATGTCTTGGCCATTTTATTTGCATCATCCAAAGCAATCGGGCCACAGGAACTTCAGACCAGATTGCATTGAATCACGTTGGGTGTGATCATTATAAGCTAAAAACCCCCAAACATTGTAAAGGTTTTTTTGGTTTTAATTTTTTTAACATTTGTAGAACTAAAATGCTGTACATTTAAAAATTAAAAGAAACTTGCTAGGCTGAGGCTTTGTATTGCAAATTTTTCCAACTCAGAAACTCCTTACTGAACCATTCCTGTTGGGAAGCAGGGAGCGCACTGACAGCCGTGGGCACAGGCTCCCTGCCTTCATCTGCTGCACTTGACTTTTCTCCTCGGATGGGACTAGAGCCTGCTCTTGGGACTCTTCTGCAGCAGTCACTTGTAGCTAATGCTGTGTTTTATAGGAACCTGGATTAAGGCACTTTGGCACAGGGAGTGTGCAATGCCGTTAAACACCCTGATCCCTCTTGGGCCTGTGTAAGAGAAGCGTCTCCTCTCCCAGACCTTGCTGCAGTCACAGCCTCCTGGTGGGACAGCCCGTGGCAGCCTGTGGATTCTGGGTAAGCTGACATGAGCTCTGGATAAAAGTGGGGCTTTGCCTGAGTGCTACAGTTCCTTGCTTTTCCTGCTCTCTCCTCTGTGCCTGATGCAGCGAAGGCAGAAGACACAGCTGAAAAGGGGTTCTTCTCTCCCTCAGAACTGCCCCCTTATTGCCCCAGCCTTTTAACCTTGCAGCCATTCTGCACGTAGAGCTGCCCAGGGCAGGGAGGGCTGGGCTCACCATCTTCCACTCCTGGTTTCAGTGCCTGAAAGCCTGACTTCCCAAGGAAAAAATGTGACTCTGTGATCCATCAGTCTTGGTTTCAGGATTAAGATCTGAAAGAATTTGTGCCAAATTTTTTTGGGAATGTTAACCTGCAAGATAGCTAAAATACACCATTTAACTCTTATAAAAGGCTCTGTAGGAGAGTTGAATGGGAATGGGAAGCAGCCTGAAGCCATAGCAGTAATCCATCGTGTGAATTTTGTCTTTGGGATTTTTCCTATTCTAAAAGGACAGTGTGTGTGATTTGGCAGAAGCTCATGAAGCTGTTTATCCAGCCACCCTTAAATTTGTGCTGACTTTTATTTTGACTGTCACAGTGAAGCTGCTGACCTGACAGTTGAGGAAGATCTTTTAATGGCTTTCTTGATGGCTTTTTTAAAAATAAAGTCTATCTGCCGGAAAATCACAATCTGTATGAGAAATGTCAAGAATATTGTAGGCATCGGATTTTGTGGTTTAGGTTATTATGTTGGGAAAGCAGAGGTTGTATCCCAACCAGAGTTTGGATTTCTTCATAGTCAGTTCTGATTTTAAAAGAACCCTGAACATAACAATGTAGCAGTTAAGAGGATGGCACGTGAAACATTTAATCTAACAAGGCCTTGTTTAGCAATTCAAGAACATCTCATCTTTTCCTGTCTCCTCTGCCCAGAGGAAATAATGGTTCTGTGCTGGCACATGGGAGATGCTGACAGAATCCCTGTGAGGGCTGGCAGAGAATACAAATACATTCTTCGGGGCTGTGTACTTTAAAAAGAAATAAGTGTGTCTTTTTGCCATTTACCCTAACCCTGGGCGTGCCTGTGAGGCTGGGCAGGGCACAGGAGTGTCCCCTGATGTCCTGGGATGGGCTGTGGGCTACCAAAGCTCTGCTGCACTGCAGGGGAACAAGGAGAGCTGGGCCTGGAGACTTTTGCTGCCTCTTGAGAAACTTCCTGAGTTCAAGGAGCCTGACTGAGCTGAAGAACTCATTTAGCTAAAGATATTTTCCACCTGGTTTTGCCAAGGAGAATAAAACCCAAACATAGAATTGAATAAATTTAATACTAAGTTCTGCTGCAGCTGTTGACTATCTCAGACCTCCCCACTTTCCCTTCTTTGCCAAGCTAGGCAACACAAATCACGTTTACAGTTCCTTTTGTGTTGTGCATGTGACAGGGGTTTGCAGTGTAACAAGATTAGTTTTCCCTGTAATCCTCTTAAAATGTCCTTCCTTTGATTGTCTTTTCATCTCTTGGTGTTCTGGTACTTGGTTTAACAGCATTGAGATTTATTCCACAAGTCCTGTTTGATAAGCTGCTTTCAAAATTTATTTGCCTACAAACACACTTAATTTGGAAAAAGCATTTTAACAGGAGCTGAATTAAGCATGTGCATTTCACAAACAGAAAAAAAATGAAGCATGGAGCTATGACAGGATTCTGAGCCAGTCTGGGCCAGAGCTTCTTCGTGCAGGACACAGCTCTTCCTCTGCTTAGGCCCAGCTGCTGTAAAGGCTTCCGGCTTCGTTCCCCTCCCTGCCCCTGTGCCTCCATTTCCACCCCTCTCTTGAGGGTTGTTCCAGAGGCAGCAGTGCGAGCCTGCCCGCAGGGCACAGCTGGGCTGGGCACGGAGCTGCACTCGCTGCTGCTCGGGAGGCCCAGGGCCGGCACTCCCTTCCCAGGCCGAGCTTTGCGCTACACAACCACCACTGGCGGCGGTGCTTGGCTTACAAACCGGGCTCTTCTCATCCGAGACACATCCTTTGCTTTCTCACGTCATCCTTTCTTTCCTGGCGTTACTCAGTGGCAAACTCTTTAACGCAGCATGATTTACGTGTCTACAGCACCTACAGACCTGTGCAGTGTGCCCCGCCAGGGGCAGGTTCCCCGAGCGAGCCAGGGCTGGGCGGGCTGGCAGCACGGGCTCTGCGGAGCCCTGCAGCGCACCAGCCTTGCGCCAAGCCACCGAGTATCTCTTAACCGTTATTTTTGGTTTCGTTTGTAAAAGAAAATTAAGTGTCCAAAGCCACGCTCGCCGATGCCGGTAAAGGATACCAAACGCACCCACAGCCCGGGTCCTGCCGCTCGCCCCGCTCCGCCCGCCCCCGGCCACGGCGCAGCCGGGCCCGCCATGCGGCGCGGCACCGCCAAATGGCGGCGGCTGGGCGGACGGCCCGGCCCGGGGAGCCCAGCCCCTGGAGCCCAGCCCTTCCCCGGGAGCCCAGCCCAGCCCCTGGAGCCCGGCCCAGCCCCTGGAGCCCGGTCCAACCCCTGGAGCCCAGCCCAGTCCCTGGAGCCCAGCCGCTCCCCGGGAGCCCGGCCCTTCCCCGGGAGCCCAGCCCAGCCCCTGGAGCCCGGCCCGGCCCCCTGCTCCTGCCGGAGCAGCAGCGGCACCGCGGCCCCGCCCCGCACGGCGGCGATGGCGGCCCCTCGGCGCGGGCAGTGGGCGGACGGCCCGGCCCGGGGAGCCCAACCCCTCCCCGGGATCCCAGCCCAGCCCCTGGAGCCTAGTCCAGCCCCTGGAGCCCAGCCCCTCCCCAGGAGCCCAGCCCCTCCCCGGGAGCCCAGTCCAGCCCCTGGAGCCCGGCCCTTCCCCGGGGGGCCTGCGGAGCCCATAAATTCCCTCGCTCGGAGCTCCGCGGCCTCTTGCTCCGGGTCGGCCGAGGTGGGTGCAGGGTCCGGTGGGGCGGGGAGTGTTGGGGGTTCCCCTCTGGCCCTTCCCCGGGGTGGGCCGGGGCTCTGCGGGCGGTCGGAGGCGGCTCTGTGGCCGCCCGTCCGCTGAGGCAGCCGCCGCGCCCTGTGAGCGCCCGCTCCCGCTCGGGCCGGGCCTGCCCCGCGGCGCCTCAGCGGGCTCCGGCCGCGCTCCCCGCCCGACTCACGCGGAGCTCCCCGGCGCTCGCTGGTGGAGGTGATGACTCTTTCCCCGTCAGAGCGGCAGTGTTGACCATCGCTTTCCAAGCCAGGTCGTGTCTGATGCACCAGCGGAGCGGCCGCGGGCCGGTGCTGGCTGTCCGCTGCTCCCGGTGCTCACTGTGCTTTGTTTCCCCGTAGGGCGGCGGAGCCCGAGGCGCCTGCGGAGCCCCGTGCCCGGAGCTAGGCTGGCGATGAGGGCGCTTCCCCGGCGTGCGCCGGCGGGCCCGAGCCTCTGCCGGGGCCAGGCGGTAAGTGCAAAATACCTGCTCCGTGCCGAATTAAAAATGCACGCGTTAAAATTTGCTCTTTCAGAGGAGTCAGAGTTACTTGGGCCCGCATTGCCAGGGTGGGTCGGTCCTGCAGGGCCCCGGGGCCGGGCCGGCGCCTCGGGCAGCGCGGCGCCTGCCGGCGGGAGCGGGAGCCGCACGTGGGCTCCACACCGGGCCTGCAAGAGGCAGCAGTAACCTGTTAATCCCTTCCTGATGCCTCTTCTTCTGTTAAATGTCTTGGCTGTTTTAAACTGCTCTAGAACACCCATCCATTGCTGTTCTCCATTTTTTTTGGGAATATTTCCCTGTCCTGTGTAATTGCAGGGCATGCCAACCAGCCACGTTTTGGGGGAAGAATTTACATTAACTCCCTCATTGTCTGTAGTTCTGCCAGGGAAGGTGGGAGTGTGGCACAGCTGCAGTGGGTGTGCAGCCACAGCTCCTAGGGACGTGCTGGTGTAAGTGATGACTGAATTTTTTCCCCATCAGAGCGACAGTGTTGATTTCTTGCTGTTCAAGCCAGATCATGTCTGATGCACCAGCAGGGAAAAGCTGCTGTGTCCCACACCCTGACAGGGTCTGGTGCTGACAGTTGCCTTTGCTACAGTGTTGATTTCTTGCTGTTCAAGCCAGATCATGTCTGATGCACCAGCAGGGAATCTGTGTCCCACACGCTGGTGTTAAGAGATGCCCAGAATACTGGGCTGCGATGCTGATGGTTCCCTTTGTCTTTACCCCCAGGGCACTGTGAAGGCAGAAGTGGGGGATTGAGCCTTGGGGAGACCTGAAGTTCAGGCTGCAGCTGACGATGGAAGAGGTGTGGATGAGAACAGTCTGGTTTGCTCCACCATGTGTGCCCCTTTGTCAGGGGAGAATGGTAAGTCTTTAATTGATCTATGTTCACTGGCTTTAATAAAGAAAAATGCCTTTTTCCAAGGAAGTTTCTTCTGCAGTGCCTTTACAAGTTAAAGTCCCTGGATGTTTGGCAGAGTGGGGATTAGTATTGCAGAAGGGGCCCTTGTAAGTGCTGAAACCTGAGTAGCCCTGTTAAAAAAAAAATCCATTTTCCTGCAGGGAAGTTCCTGTTAGTTGAAGTTCTTTCCAAAGATCTCAAATTAAGGTCAGAGAGGTCTGAAAGGTTTCAATTCAAATTCAAGGGCATAAATGCAATGTTTTTGTTTTGCCCTACTTAAGCAGAGTTAAAACAAGGTACTTCCTGCAGAGTCCAGGAGCTTTTGTTCTTTACAGTTTTTGGATTCACTCCCCCCAGTGGGAGGTTCTCAGTGTCTTGAGAAGTGGATGAAGTCTCTTGCAAACACACGTGCTTTCAGCAGTGTTTGCAAGAGAGGGATTGCTTTTGGTGTTCTTTTTGTTACTTGAAGATAAACTATGTGACATCTGAATACTTGCCTGTCTGATTAGCATTTCACTATTTTTTTAGAAAATGTGCTTAACAGAACTTCATCAGATCAACAGCTGTTGCCACTGGCTCGTCCAGTTCCAGCCTCATGTTGCTGTTGAGAGCAGCTGCTCTGTCTCCAGAGAGGCTGAAGTCTCCCAAGAGCAGGAGCAAAAGGGAGCAAGGACTCAGTTCAAATGGTGGAGCTGCTTGAGCTGACTGAATGTTTCTCTGTCACTCTGCTCTGTTAGTTCCTGTCAGGTCCTGCTCTAAAAGCTCCCGCAGTGCAGTTTGAGTTCATCCTGTTGGAGTGTCTGGCAAGGTGGAAACTTCTCTTTACAGAGCAGCCATTGTCTGGTGGTTTTAATGTGGGCTGGGGTGGATTTTAAAGCTGTGTATTTTCTGTTTGCGGTACAGTGGATAGACAAAATGTTGTCTGTTCTCTTTACAGGTTGAGATTTATAAAAAGTTGTCCTGGGCCCTGCTGGAGTTTCAGTGTTCTGCTTAAGATGGATGGTGCTGCTCCCATGCTGCTGCCTGGCATCCTCATTCAAGCCCCAGCATTCCCATACCCTGCAATAGCTCTGATCCCCAGAGCTGTCAGCAGTGATGAATTTGTGTCCTGCCAGCTTAGATGATGGAGGGTGTTACATTTTCTGTCCCCGGGGTACCAGGCGTGTAACTGGAATGGATTCTGGAGCTGGCTGCATGTTTAATGCAGTTAGGTGCTTTGTCTGCAGGGGCTGCATTCCCTGCCTGGCAGCTCGTGTTGTCCTGCCACAGTCAGGAAAGGCAAGGAGGCCTCTCCTGGAGCAGCTGGCAGGTGTGGGAGGGTGGCCTTGCATGTGAGGAAGGGAGTCAGGGCGTGGTTCTCTCCTGCCACCCAGAGAGCTGCAGTGGTGTATGCTGGCAGCCTGTGAACAGGGCAAGGGGTGTCAGGGGTGCTGCAGCACAGGGTTTCTGTCCTGTTGGAAGCCTGGTTTTAATAAAATCTTGATGGTGACTGAGTTTGGCTGGTAACTGAAATTCTCTTGACCCATGTTTGACAGCATGTTCCTGGATCTCTCAGTGGTTTGGGGAGCAGGGGGCACAGCACCAGTGTGCTGCTGTGGTGCTGGAGCTGCCTGCTGCCTCAGGCCAAGATGTCTCATGGCAGCAGGGCTCCACATACCCTGGGGCAGAAGTGCTTGGCTGGGGCTTGTGGCTGCTGCTGTGCTGCAGGTCTGGGGGAAGGGGCAGTCTGTGCTCAGCTTCTGCATGATTAAATCAGTTCCAGTGGTTCTGGGATGGAACTTGAGGTGTCTGAGCTGATGGTGGCTTTTGGCACATATGCTTGGTAGGAAACAGCAATGATGGAAAATCAGCTACTATTCAACATTCAAAGCAGTCTTCAATTAAATTGAGTAGAGATTTTTCTTATTCAATTAATCTAAGCAGCCTGATCTCCTAAAACTGCTTACTGGTGAGGGACCAGAACTCTGCTAATACAATTACTTCCATTAATGTAATGAACAGACCTACCAGCAAACATTCTGTAGGGAGGAGAGAGTGCTTGTGCAGTGGGAGCTGGAGAGACAGATGCAGCTGAAACATGTTCTTGGCATGTTTTATTGCCTCTGCAAGAACAGTTGCTCAGATCGGGTTTCAAGCTTTGCTGCTATTGCACATATGCATCAGGATAAAGTTGAAAACTTGGTAGGTTACTAATTACCTACCAATTAGGTAGCCCCAAGGGGTTTGGGCACGAGGGACAGGGGTTTGGGCACTTGGGGCAGGGTTTGGGCACTGCCGGACCTGCGGCCGGCAGGGGGCGCTGTGCCCGGCCGGCAGGGGGCGCTGTGCGCGGCCGGCAGGGGGCGCTGTGCCGCCGCTACTGCCCCTCAGGGCGGCCCGGCCCGGCCCGCGGGCACCCGGAGCCCCGGACCCGCCGCGGTGCCCCCAGAGCCCCCCAGTCTGCCGCGGTGCCCCCAGAGTGGCCGTGACAGAAGCTCTGGGGCATGGGGAGCCGGTACAGACACGGCTTGGGCTGTAGCAGCAATGGGACATAGACAACCCCGTTAGAAAATCTCACCGCAGTGCTTTGGCAAGAGGTGGGGATGAGGAGGTTTAACTCTGAATTCAAAGCAGCCGGACTTCTGCTGGCCCTGGTCAGCTCGCGGGTTTGTCTGCTGGATGGTTTGAAGGGGGAGATGGGGTCAGCAGCTGCTCCTGCCCTGCCCTGCCCGCGCTCCTGCCGCGCCGGGCCCTGCCCGGCCAGGCCCAGCTCCGCAGGAACACACCTCGCTGCTGGTACCTGTGCAACTTTCTCAACTGCAGCCTGCAGTCACTCGCTGGGCTGGTATGCTTCAGCAAATGTTTACTTTTCTCAAACAGATCTGTTTCTCGGTGCCATGAGCATTTGAGAGAAAAATAGCGCAGATTATTTCTCTGTCTGATGTTGCTTTTAATAGAAATTTTCATACACAGGGAGAGTTTTAACATTTGTATTCCCAAAGACCCAGGCATGTTTTGACTGCGTGGACCGAGATCCAATTTTCCTAACAACACAGGGCCAGTCAAAGTTGCAGTATTTATGTGGACCCATAGCTTTCTGAAGCTAATTTTCATTCAGTCTGTGTATCTCCGAATAGCATGAAGGTGTTCCTCTACCTCAGCTGTAGGCAGGGGATTGGAGCACGGCAGCCTGAGTGCCGGACCGGGACCGCGCTCGTTCCTGCCGAGTGCCGGACCGGGACCGCGCTCGTTCCTGCTCCGCCGGGAATTGCGCAAGAGCCGCGCCCGCCTCTGGCTCGTGTGAGCGAATCAGCCGCGCAATGCAATCTCCCTGTGAGTGTCCTTCCTGCCCAGACCGAGACCTGCGCTGCTTAAATGACTTACCCGAGGTCACACAGCAAGTGACTCATTGGCAGAGGCAGCAATTAACACGGTATCGTTAAATTGCTGCTTCCTAGACCCCACAGCTACCGATTTCTAGTGCTCTTCTGTTCCCTCTCCCAGCCTTTATGCCTCTAGCTCAATGAAGGATTCGCCACGCGTGCAGTTTCCAAGCTGACAATATCTGACCACTGCCAAGAAAATGAGATGCCTGTTCTTTGCTGCAGACATCTAGTGACATACAATGAAGCTAACGTTCTATTTCTTATCTCTTTTGAACATTTTACCATGTTATACCCTGATGCGGTGCCAGGTCTCCTCTGTGCCCATGCCTCCAAAATTGTACGTGCTGACTGCAGTTTCCCTGAAATGGGAACACTGTCCATACCCAGTCTTAGTACAATAGCATAATCACTTGAAAAAAAAAAAAGTCAGTGGGTGGATTTTATAAATCCCAGTTCAGTGTTCAGCAAGGTATAACATCTGTTGTGATCAATATTTTAGAGCAAGCCTTTTTGATTAAAAAGTTACAGTAAAGCCCTTTGCTTTGTACTGAATAGCTAAATAATTCACAGGAGTGGCTGTAATCTCTGTAAGTTTCTTGCATTTCGAATTAAGAAGAAAATTCAGGGTAATTTTGTAGACAGGCAGCATAGCCAGCCAGATCATTGTCCTTAGGAGCTGCTGTACTGGCAGCAAAGTACTTTCCATTTTTAACGGCTCCTGAGGTATGCTGGAGTCAAATCCAGCAAAAAAAGTTAGTCTCCTCTATCATCTGCTTTTGATGATAATGTGACGATAATCTGGTGGGCAAACGCCAGCAGCCAGCGCTGAAGAGTTTTGGTTTGGTGATTCCATAGAGAGGGGCAGCGGAGCGAGCACAGCGAGCGGCACCTCCCGCCGCCGGGACCGCGCCCCGCCCCGGGCTGCGCCGCCCGCGGGCTCTGCTGCCCCGGCCGCGACCGCGCCTGCCTGAGCTCCGGCCGGCGGCCCGACGGCTCCGCCGGGCCCTGCTACTGCGACCAGGCGTGTGCCCGCAGCCTGGACTGCTGCCACGACTACGGCCGGGCCTGCCCAGGTGAGCCGCTGCGGCCCGCGGGCACCGCCTGTGGGGAGGCGGGGGAGCCTGGAGAGCTGCTGAGAGCTGCCCGAGACAGCTGCGGACAGCTCTGAAATAAGGACGGATGTACTGAGCTGTGTCAGAAAGTGTTATTTGTGCGGCAGGCATTTCGCTGGCATCGTTCCTATGGCACTCCTCATCCCCGTTTGTTGTGTTGCTCCAGTTATCCCCTGCGTGGTATCTCAGTGGAGCGCCTGGAGCGGCTGTGCAGAGCCTTGCAAGACAACCTATCGTGTCCGGACGCGGCACATCGTCCAGGAGCCCAGCAACGGCGGGGAAGCATGTCCTGCTCTGGAGCAGAGGGCCGGCTGCGTGGAGTACTGGACTCGGCAGGGAGCAGAGTGCCAGCAGTCCCTCAGTGAGTGCCCTGGAAAGTGTCTGGATACTCGTGGGGGGGACTCTGCTCTGGGTCCCCAGAGCTGTTTCTTCCTCTGAAGAATTGTTTTTAGATACTGGAATGTTTGCCATGGGCCTGCCTGGGCTAACTGAGAGCTGAGCTCTTCACAGAGGAGCTTAGGCACGTCCTTCCCAGCACTGGTGGAAGTGGTGCCTACCATTTGCTGTGATCCACTGTGTCTCAAAAGTGAGATGTTACAGGTCTGCTGTGCTCTCACTTATACAAGTGCAAATCTTTGGAAATTTTGGTGAGATTGGCAGATTTGTGTCTGTTTAGACTTCTGTAAGTGGCTGTTACACACTTTCAGAAAAAAAAAATTATATATATTTATTATAAATTTACTTATTAATATATTTATAATATTAACTATTACTAATTAATTATTTTAATAGATTATATAATTATATATAATTATATATAATATGTATAATTATACAAAATATATAATTGATCTATTAATATATTTTATATATTATATAATATATTATACTATATATTTATTATTATATGTTTCTTTATTACTATATCTATAATTATTTACTTATTTAATGACTTACCTGCAAAAAGTTGCAAAGGAGTGATACCTCTCCATGCTGAGATACACCTTCTCTGCACTGCAGCAGAGTGCAGGCAAGGGAGAACTCTAGGTAATTTCTGGAGAAAAAGTCTGGGTTTAGTTTGTTCAAATCAGGTTTTCATGGAACGCCTTTACTGATTTTTTAGAAGAATTGCTTGCAATTTTGGTTGGTGTTTTAGGATCAAAATCTGCCCAGTCTGGATGTCAGCTGCAAGTGACCTCTTCAAACCTGTTGAGAGCTGGCATTAAGCAGATGTTGCCTCCCCCTCTGTCTTTGGGTGTTCCTCTGCTCAGCCAAAAATCTGGCAGCTGTGCAGATTCTCTTCTCAGTGGAATGGTTGTCAGTGACAGATAGCAAGAAAATACAAAGAATTGTTTTTGTCTCGTGCTAAAGCTAAAACCTGATGACATTAAAAGCCAATCTTTTCTGTTTGCAGACGTAATGAGCCTTAGAGCAGCATTGCCACTGAGGCTCTGTACCCTTTCTCTTTGGTATCCACAGTCCCAGCATTAATAACTGCAGGAGGGTTTGGAAAAGCCAGGAAGAAAAGAGCTGCAGCTGACGGCAGTGAAAGGGCAGGGTAAGTTGAGGCTCAGCTCAGGGACTCAGCTGTACTCCACCTGCAGAGTCTGGTTGCAGAGGGGAGAGCATCACGAGGAAAACCTTTACAGACCAAATCTTAGCTCCCATCACAACCTGCTCTACAAAATCCATTCTGAGTAACTGAGAGGAGACCACAGAGGAAATGTGGCAGGTGGATTCCAGACTTGGAATTAGATTAGTCAAATGCTTGACCAGTCTGTGTCCCTATTGGTAAAAACAGATGCCAGTCATATCTGATACTTTTTATATGTTAGCTGAAAATAAAGTAGTTAACTACTTTAGTAAGACTCTCAGCAGAGAGTTTAATAAAACTACTCAGCAGAGTAGTTTTATTCCCTATTTAACCTTGTCAAAATGCAGGTACATGACATGTTCTGCTCTTAATGACCTTGGGTGGGGGGATTGTTTGGTTTGGTTTGGTTTTTCCTAGTCAGTGGTCTGTGGTCCTGCAGGTGAGTGCTGCCCTGGCAGCCCCGGGCAGGCCTGCCCTGGTGTTTGAGCTGAGCGTGCTGTTGGGTTGCAGGTACTGTGTGGAGTTCCAGCTGGTGGCCCTGGCGCCGGGCTGCGGGCACAGGCAGGCCTGGCACGGGCAGGCCTGGCACGGGCAGGCCTGGCACAGGCAGGCCTGGCACAGGCAGGCCCGGCACAGGCAGGCCTGGCACAGGCAGCCGTGGCACAGGCAGGCCTGGCACAGCCGCTGGACGCGCGAGCTCCGCGAGGGCCGCACGGTGTGCGTGGAGTGCCAGCAGCCAGCCCTGCACCCCCTGCGGCAGCACTGCCGCGGCGACGGCTCCGGCAGCCACCGGTGAGAGCTCTTCTTCCTCTTTGCCTGCTCAGTTTGTCGTTCTTCTCCCTTGGGCCGCTTGTTCCGGGGTCACAGTGCACTGCATGCGGCTCTCTGGGGAAACGGGGGGTCTTTGGGCCATCTGTGGGCAGCTCTCTACACAGGGCAAGAGTTGGTCCAGCTGTGGAAGCTGTGCTTCTCCAGAGGTCAGGGCTGGGAGACACTGATTGAGAAATTTCCCTAGGCCACTGAATGATAAAATCTGGGAAGGGGCGCAGTGCTACAGAAAAACGTCTGTTCCTGTCACTGTTGGGTTTTACTCCACATTAGCACAGCCTCACTGTGGCTGCTGCTGCTGCTTTACAGTGGTAGAGAGGCAGAATCGGGCCCATGGAGTAAAAATGGGTGTTATCAGACTAAATGGGATTTACTGGGTGGTTTAAGCCCTATTGTACCTGGTGGTGGCTGCCCTGCAGTGGGGGTGCAGCTCGTTTTCTCTCACCTGTAATGACTGTGTTTCAGGAATCAGCTGTTGCACTGGCAGGCGGTGGGGAACCATCGGTGCAAGGGAACCTGGAGGAGAATTCGCCAGCTGGACACTTGTTCCTGCCCTTCTGCTCACAGCCTCCTGTTCATCTGACCTCTCCTGGCAGTCCCAGCAAGCCCGGTGTGCGGCAGCAGCAGGAGCCCCAGCCAAGGCAATGACTTCTCTGTGGCAGAGGCTTTGCTTTCCCTGCCTTTCCCGAGGTTGCTGGGGCACCTGGAATCCTCTCTGTGTGTTTCCAAGGAAGTCAGTGGAAATCAGGCTGGGAAGTGACGATCTCTTTTTATCCTGAGAGAATCTTGTCTGACCTTGATGACCTCTTGCCATTCCTCATTTCTTGAAAGGAACGATAATTTACCAAATAACAAATCAAACAAAAAAGGCCATAAGAAGCCAGGTTTAATTATTCTTAAAAAAATCTTAATGAAGAATCAACAATGCAAAATAAATTAATCCAAGTGCCTTCTTTTTGTGGCAGCAGCACTTTGTGGATACTTCCTGCTTGTGCTTGTGTATCTGTTCCCTCTATTTTCATCCTCCCTGGTCTCATAATTACATTTAGCCCTCAGTCTTACAGCAGGTTGGTCTTGTGCTGTTGAGGTAATGACAAAACTTAGAAATGTGCTTGTCAAATCTGTGAGAATAGGGACAAACTGGCCCTTGGACTGGAGTTTCAAGGAACATCTCTGAGTTGGCCCAAAATGCAATGCAGTCCTGGGGCTCTGAATAGGAATTCAGCCCAGCTGTGCCAGGAGTGCTGACTATAGCCATGTGCTTTTGACTGAGAAATACTTGAAATATTTTCCTTATATTCTGCTTACTAATATTCATACTTTTCTATAAATGAAAATAATGGAGACTGGAGATATTCTCCCAATGTCTGTCTGTTTGATTAATCTCTGTGGTGCCATCTCTTTAGCTTCTTAACCTAACTAGTTCAGACAGGAGCTCACTGCAGGGTGAGGTCGAGGTCATCCCATTTGTCACAGCCAGGTGAGTGGCTGGGGCTGGCTGCAGCAGAGCCAGCTGGCTGGTTCCTGTGGCCTGGAGATGCAGGAGTATGAAAGATTTAGCCCCCAAGGGACCCTCACAGCAGCTGTGTTTCTGCGCAGACTGGATGACACAAGACATTGCGAATGTCTCTGCATCAGCACATCCTAAAAAGGGCTGTGCAGTGTGCTGGCTTCACCTCCACACCTTGTGTGACTGTACAAACAGATCCTGTTGGTAAATTCCTGGGGGAAGTGTGTGACAGAGAGCACGAGTGAGCCTTTTGAGTAGAAGAAGGAGATGAAGTTGTCAGATCCCTTTCCCTTCAAATGAAAATCAGCTCACGGTGTTGACACATACTGCGTCCTGCCTTTCCCTTTAGGAGTTTTATTACCACTCATCATTATAGTAATTTCTACTACCTGGGTTTTGGACAAAATGAAACTTGGGAAATCCAAAGCACAATACTGCTGGGGAATGGCTTTGTAGTGTGAGGAGCTGGGCTGGAGGAGAGGCTGTTCCCGAGGATGCCAGCTGTTCCCATGACAACGCCAGAACCTTCCACCCTGGTACCAGCAGCAGAGGAATCCCCAGCACAGCCAGGAGCTGGGTCTGTCCTGCACGGGATTCCTGTGCTCCCACAGGAGCTGGGTCTGTGCTCCCACAGGAGCTGGGTCTGTCCTGCACGGGGCTCTGTGCTCCCACAGGAGCTGGGTCTGTCCTGCACGGGGCTCTGGGCTCCCACAGGAGCTGGCTCTGTGCTCCCACAGCAGCTGGCTCTGTGCTCCCACAGCAGCTGGGTCTGTCCTGCATAGGATTCCTGTGCTCCCACAGGAGCTGGGTCTGTCCTGCACGGGGCTCCTGCTGGGCTCCCAGAGCTGCCCCACCTGCACCTGCCAGCTCCACACAAAACCAGCAAATAGTGCAGAGCGCCTCGGGTCGGATTTATGCAAAAGCAAAATTAAACTCAGCTGATGTTGCTACACTTCCTCCTGCTCTCCAGCCAAGGATCTCAATTTTTAATGATGGAAAGTCAAGGAAAAAAAAAATCCAGATCCTTTTACAACCTGCTGAAGAACCCATGTGATTTTCTTTTGTAGAGAAATCTTTCATTGACATGATGGGGAAAGAGAGAGGCCATGGGGGAATTGTGCTTTTCCTCACCCTAATCCTGTAATTTCCAGCCTGGGATTAAACTGTTTTCTTCTGCATTTGAAACAGAAGGTGTTTAAAGACCATTTTTACATGGTATCTTCATAGGTCCATCAGCTCCCTGAGTGTCCTGGTACGTGGGATTGCTTTCATCTGAAGGAGGATCTGCTTCCTTCCATAAGGAAAGAGCCCTTGCACATTTAGAAACAAGACATAAAATATGCCCAGAAATAGAGCCAAAGGTAAAGAAAAAGAACAACAAAAATTTAATTTTCTTATATAGCTGTGTTGTTCTAATGACAAACTGTTCCTTTTACGAGTTGAGCATATTCTGCTGGAATGGTAGGAGTTAGCAATACTTCTCCATAACTGAGACTATTCTATTATCTCTAGCTTTCAAAACATTTTTTGTTCTTTATTCTTAATTTTGAGTATTTTGAGTCTTTAAATAATAAGATCACTGACTTTCTCTTTTTTTTTCCCTCTTTTTCCCCCCCCCATTTATTTTAAAAAGAACACTCATCCCCCAAAAGGTTTGAGCAGCTAATGTTCATTATTGCTACCTGGCCTTATCTGAAAATGTGCATAATTTGATATCAGGCTCAGCACTTTGATGTCTCACAGCAGTGCCAGCTGCAGCAGGGTGGCAAGGCTGGGACCCCGTTCAGCTCCTGGCCTCTTACAAACCCCGGGACTGCAGCTCCTCTTCTCTTTCATCTTCTCAGCTGTCAAACCTCTCCACTCCTGTCAGGGCCCTCAGGAAGATGCTCTGGGTGCTCATCCTGGCCTGCATCTACGTGCAGCTCCTCCAGCCTCTCCCCTGATCTCATTACAGCTCTGGTTCTAGCAGTTGGGGATTTGTAATTTTTTTTTTCGTTGTTGTTGCTGCTACTGCTGGTTTTCTGCATCACCACTCATTCTTATAATTAAAGTGACAGCTCTTGAACTGGTGTGTCAAAACAGCATGATGTAGTCAGGAAAGTACTGGGAAGATCATCTCTAATCAGACAGCAGTGATTCATGTTTCACTAGGTGAAGGTGAACCCCAGGTGCTGCCGGTGCCTGGAGAAGCTTCCCCCAGGACAGGGTGTTGGTAGCAGCCTGCACCCCTGGCCCCACTGCTTGGAAACTGTCAGCACACGGTTTGTGTTTGTGTCAGGGCTGCAGCTGGACGACTGAACCTTAGCAAAGCTTCTCAGACTGATTTCCTAGAAGCTGTAAGGAAAAAGCCAAAACAGAGATGTAAAGAAAATTATTTTGGTCTGAAAATCAGTTGATATTTCCAGGTTGGCTGGAAATTCCTTGTTTCCAGAAGACCCAGCTCTGTTCCCTGGTCTCTTGGCATCACAAACCAGGTATGCCAGTCCTGAAGGAACCTCAGTGCAGAAATCTCCAGTGTGGGTGATGTTTGCAGCCCCAGGAATGTGCATCTCCCCTGTGGTGTGTGGGGCAAGAGGGGCACAGGGCTGGGCAAGCATCCTGAGAGCTTCTGACTCTGCTGCTCCTACTCCCAAGCTGAATCTTGGTGGAGTTCTCACCCTTGCTCCTGCATTTTCTGCTCTGTGCTCTGCTGGCTCCAGCCCACGGGGCTGTAGATACCCCAGCACACGTTTGTATCTATCTGTGTGTCCTCTGTTTGTGTCAGCTGCCCTGTGGCTCCCTGACAGCTGCACATGAGAGGCCTTTAAATCAATCCTGCTCACAATGGCTGTTCTCCAGCATCCTGGTCTGTAGGGTACAAGCATCCTGGATGAATGGCAATATTTTTATATTGCCTTAAATAAACTTCCATTCTTGACCAGAGTGTTTCACTTCATTACAGGGGGATGTTAAATGCAGTATTTATCTGCAGAGCTATGCAATCTTACAATAACAACATTTGATGCTGCTTAGATTAAAAAGCTCTGGTTTCAAGGGCAGAAGGGATTTCTAGCTGGAAGGAACCAGCCCTTCTGTGCTCAGGTACCACATAGCAGGAACCTGAACTTCCAGTTCATTTTCCAGGACAGTTTCTAATGCTGAACTGACCTTTGTGAGAAGATCACTGGTGCTGGCCCAGCAGGCACCTCCTGTGCTGCTCCTGCTTCTGAGACAATTCCTCTCCACGCTAGGGACAGAGTCTTTGATTTCAGACTTGTGACCTGGGCTGAGAAAGAGGAGTGAGTGGGGTGTGCAGCTCTGTGCACGTGTGCTGCCCTGTGAAGTCACTGAATTGGGGGTGGTCCTCAGGTGCAGCAGCTGGGACAGTGCAGTGGCTCCAGGAGCAGCTTTGGGCAGCCTGGGTGCTGCCAGGATGGAGGTGAACATACAGGACACACTTGTGAATTGCTCAAAGACCTCAGAGGGTGGGAGAGGGAAGAAAAGGGGGTGGCGAGGATGCCTTTTCTCCCATGCTCTCATACAGTGGAAAGCTGATGACTGGGAGCTATTGAAATGCTTATAATTGTCTCATTAGAGACAGAAAATGTAATTAAAAGGGATAGCAATCTCTCTGCAAATTCCAAACATTGCAGTCTATCTTTGAAAGCAATTTTGGCTATTAGCACAGGTGGTAAAGTCCCAGCAATTGAACTCAATCTTATTGCTGTGTCAAACCACTAAGGAGAAAAAGTGGGTTTCCTTCCAGATGCCAGCAGACACATCTGCTGCGTGGGGAGGGGGCACGGGCAGCCAGGAGGGAGCCCCTGGGGGTGGGCACCCCAAGGAAGAGCAGAGGGCTCTGTCTGTGCCGGGGCTCTGCAGGAGCAGCCCCAGCAGGGGCTCAGCCAGGCTCTCCAGGCAGCAGCCAAACCACTCACACACTTTCCAGGCTTTGCTTGCACGTTGAAGTTTCAATTCCTCATCCCGGGAAAAAGAGCATTCCTGAAGTTTGTCAGCAAAGCTGAGATGTGTGTGAGGGCCAGCTGGGCAGAGGCTCCCACTCTCACTGCCAGTGCCCCTTCCCTCTGCAGCCACAGCAGAGCTCGGGCTGGGCCCTTCTGTGCAGAGCCAGGGGCCTTCATCCAGGGCTGCAGGGGCAGCCAGGGCAGGGGCAGTAGCTCAGAGCTTTTGGTGTCTTCATGACTTTCAGAAAGGCCTTCAATTCTCCACAGCCT